AAAAAAAAAAAAAAAAAAAATCTTACTCCATTTACTTCAAAAGAAATCACAAAACTGAGTCAAGAGAAAATAAATCTAAAACATTGAAACCCCAGACCTTTAACAAATCAGGAAATTTAGAAAGTTAAAAAACAAAACAAAAAAACAATTTACTCAAAAACCTGAATCTCCTGCTGAAGAAATAACAAGCCGAGGAAAACTTTCAACGCAAAAGCAAACGAGAGAGTGCTTTACCGCATATGAAATCATGCTTATAGCAGACATGGGGGGAGGGAAAGGCCCACACAGAATCCTTACCTGATGCTATCTAGTAAAAAAGTATCATTCCCTATGTCATACACAAACACATTTCAACTTTTCACAACAAAATAAAGGGAATTTCATGGGTGATATTCCATAGAGTAAAAAAGGAATATGAATGTAGTCAAATGTGTTACAATTTTAGACTCATCTTATGATAAATAGAGGTTACAGCACAATGGAAATACTGAAACATCTCAAGTTAACTTATAGTTAGAAGGACAAGTGAGTGTGGGTGAGTATGGGTTAGGGAGTGAGTGAGTGAGTGTGTGGGTGAGTGAATGAGTGTTGGTGAGAGAGTGAGTGAGTGAGTGAGTGAGTGAGTGAGTGAGTGAGTGAGTGAATGAGTGAGGGTGAGTGAATGAGTGTGGGTGGGTTAGTAAGCGAGTGAGTGAGGGTGAGTGAGTGAGTGTGGGTGAGTGAGTGTGGGTGAGTGAGTGAGTGAGTGAGTGTGGGTGAGTGAGTGTGAGTGAGTGGGAATGAGTGAGTGAGTGAGTGAGAGTGAGCGAGGGAGAGTGAATGAGAGTGAGTGTGAGCGAGTGAGAGTGAGAGTGAGTGTGAGTGTGAGCGAGTGAGTAAGTGTGAGTGAAAGAGTGAGTGTGAGTGAGTGAGCATGAGTAAGTGTGAGTGAGTGAGTGAGTGAGAGTATGTGAGTGAGTGAATGAGAGAGTGTGAGTGAGTGAGTGAGTGAGTGAGTGAGTGAGTAAGTGAGTGAGTGAGAGAATGAGAAAGTGAGTGAGTGACTGACTGACTGACTGACTGACTGACTGACTGAGTGAATGTATGTGTTTGTATACAGGGAAGAGGGAGGTTCATGCGAAAAAAAAAGACTGCTCAAAGAGAGATATAGAGATCTAGTGATACAGTGCTAAAATCACTGTTACTGGTCTGACCATCTGGCTCTGTTAAAGAACTGGGTTCACAGATATCAGGAGTGACTTATCAAGAACACAGAATTCCTGATCTTCAAACTGATGAAAAATAAAACAGAAATTATTGTGATGATTCTAACAATAATGATAATGAAGCTGATGGTAGGAATACTGATATCAAAAATAAACATGCCATAATATTTACTATCTACTGAGTATTACTAATGATATTCATCGCCATCATTATCCATTTTACCTAATTTTATCTTTTTAACCATCTTCATCATCATTAGTGTTAGCAACATTCCTTTCATCAATATCAGATAATACACAACAGAAAAAATACAGGAATGTAAAAACTGTCATGCCAGGATGCTTTCAGAAGGAAGTGGCTTAAGACAAAGAGAAATCCTACTACAAATAATATGTACACTAGAAGTAGTAAATTTCAGAACTGGGAAATACTGCCAGTCCTTCAAGACTTTAGAAATGTCCTTCATTTATCAATTTGCATTAGAAAAATATTACTGACTTGCATCCTCCTGGAAAGAAATGCAAAAACTTCCAGTGTTGCCTCTGGTAGTCCTTTTTAAAAATGCTAAAGGACTGAAAGGCATACTCAATAGCACTGCTAGCACTTCTCTAGCAGTACTCAGTTTCACCATTATCTTTTGGGGGTCCAGTACCACAAGAACAACTACCAGCAACGAATGAGTCATTTTTCCTGTGAGTTGCAATCGTTGGGAATTTTGGAATATGTGGAGGACAATTCTGAAGTCTCAAGAGTATTGGCGTTATTCCCCAGCTCTGGTAAACTCATTACTTTTTAACATTCAGCATTCTCATTCCGGTAACATTAAATTTGCTTTGAGATCAAGATACATAAAAAACACAACCCACAACTTATGTCACACTGCACGCTCTCCAGAGAAAACACACCTGGATTATTCTTTAACCCAATGCCGACAAGTGATTTTCTAACATGCAAGCCCTCTCTCCTGGTTAGTTATAGTGGCTCGGGCTCCACTGTCGGGAGTTTGTGTCATCACCCTTGTGTGCGTGGCATGACCATACATACCCCCAAAAAACAGGATTGACATCATGGCATGTATGCACGTGCCACCCGGAATATAGTCCAAGCATACCAAGGCATGTACGTAGATGCCGCCCAGTGGCCAAGGGTTAAAAACAACCCTTTGAAAAGTTATCCTAAGCCCTGACTCACAGGCATGATTTTTTTTAATATTATTTCAAAAATATTATTAACCAATAAAGAACAGAAAAAAATTACAAATTTATTTAATGGCAAATTTTAGGAACGTTAAGTTTAAGTAGATGATTCAAAACTTTCAAAATACTGAAATAAAAAAATGAAACAACCAAATATGAAGTAAAAAAAAGTCTTGGCACTATCAATTTCCACTTAATCATTAATTCATCATATTCTGAATCACATTCACACACAAAAGACTATCTCTTGGCTCAGATGTGAAACTACAAACTTTAAAAAATATTATATCTGCATGGTTTATCAAGTATGAAGGATATTATACACAAAAAATGGTAATATCAACTGAATAATTATCAACTGCAAAGATGAATATCAACAATGGTTAAATACCTGAAATGCAAATATCAGAAATTTATACTATATATTTTAGCACAGTAGAAGCTATATAATATCTGCTTAGTGTTAAGTTTTAATGACTCACTTCTTAAAGCCTGTTTGTAAAGACCATATAATGAATCATTTAACTGCTCCTTTTAATACACTGCCAAGAATATAATTTTATGAAATGCACATCAATTGGCACTTTTTACATTTCTTGGTTTACATATTTCTTCTCTAAATGCACATACAAGGTTCCATGCATGAACTAACAACCTGGTTTTGACTAGCATGGAGCTTTCTCACTCACTCACTTACATTTACATACTTGTTTTCACTTAGACAATACATTCTCATAGATGCAGATACAGAGAAAGTGACAGATACAGACAGACAGATAAACAAACAAGCGCAAGCGTGTGTACACACACACACACACACACACACACACACACACACACACACACACACACACACACACACACACACACACACACACACACACACATATACACACATATACACACATATACACACACACACACACACACACACACACACACACACACACACACACACACACACACACACACACACACACACACACACACACACACACACACACACACAAGCATAAAAATATGAGTTTTTTATGGTCTACACATCATTTCCCTTTTCATATCAGTATGCAGAACAACACAAGAAGCAACATATGTCATGCTTAAAGCAACAACATATTCTCGAGTACATACATGATGGACAACATGCTGTTAAATTAACAAGTAATCTGAAACCCAAAAACCTTATGATTAGCTTATGCTTTCTAAACTACCGCTAATTTTGCGCCACCGATATCTATCAACCATTATCTATCTCCCTTATTAACAAAAGCCTGATAATATGCAGCTCCTACTGAATCTATCTGACACAAATTTCAACGAGTGAAATTTTCCTGATGCGTCTCCTGAAGGTTTGCCTTAATATCTAATACAAGCACTCAACAGATAAACCAATAAAAAAAAAAAAAAAAAAAAAATGCTGTCGCTCTGTATAATATAGATTTAAAGATAAAACTGAGAATCCTCTTTTGCATAAAAGTGCTGCTTTTTATCTTTGCGAACTAAGCACACATTTATGACATCTTTGTGCATTTATCTTGAGAAAGTTACAACCTATACCAACACTAAATACTTTCTATCAAAAGTAAATGGAAGTTAATATATAATAAAAAATTAACAACAACGTTCTCCTGAATGAGAAGTAGGCCATAATGCACTTAAAAAAATGAAAAAAATATACATCACGACATTTCTATACAACATTTATGCACTGGAAAGAAAAATTACCAATGAAAGCAAACAATTTCTCAAAAGCTCATAAGCATAATACCACACATGGAAAAATCAACAATGCATAATTCATCAAAAAATACAGAGGCACTGTCTGTCATGAAAATCTTTGAAGGAGAATATACATCCTGACTAATGTTATTTGTCACATAAAAGCGTACTGGAAAGTTTCGGTAAGTTCACACATATATCTTTCTTTTTTTTTCCTCTGGCAAAATCAGAAGCAGCAATCACATATTAAAAACATAGGTATGTTGACTGACATGCATAAATGCTATGGTAATTTGTATGAAGCAGCATTCATAATTTCAAATTACTTTTTCATCTCTGTTTATCATAAAGGTTTTACTATATTATTACAATTAGATTATTTTTTACAAAAATAAAACTATTCACTGGTGATATTGCAAAGCAAAATTTTCAACACTGAGAAAAAAATTAAATTCCCCTGTCACACTTATAATATGACATATAAATAAAAATGGATATAATGCACTGTTGCAATTCACTGCACTTTCAGTTTCCTGTTCTCCCTTATTAATTTTAGTCACAAATTATTTATGCAATTAGAAACACACTGGTTTAACAGAGACATGATTGCAATTTGCACATCAGTATATCTTTGACCCACCATGATGACAGAGGTAAGGAAAACCCAAGATGAATACACATGAATATTCCTAGCCTATGGGGTTAAGAAACTGCCAGAAACAAACGCACGAAAGTCTCTTTGACAGTACTACAATCAGCAATGCATTAGACCGGAGCTTGGGGAATCATATCAACAGCATCTGGCTTGTAATCAAATCTTTCCGCATGGTTCCTGGATGAATATCTAAAGCTTTCTAAAGCATTTCTGTGAAAAGATGTTATTGCTGCTTTAATGGCATTTAGGTCAGTGTGAAACAACAGGAGAAAAATTATTAACATGCAAGCAAGCCTAGCAGAGGCTGTCAAAAAAAAAAAAAAAAAAAAAAAAAAAGGACGAGAAATTCTTGTGGGGAAATGAGAAATTCAAATGCGAATGATAACTAAAGCTCATAAAGCAAGTTAATATGCTAACTTTGAGATGACGAGCTACAACAAACTCTACAACTGGAACAATCTTTGTGGCTATTACATGACAATAAAGTAACAAATGGTACTTTAAGTTTAACTCCCCTTTCTCTTGTCTTTGATTTTTGTCTATTTTGAACAAGTTTACTCTTTCATATCTATAATAATAATGAAAAAAATATATATATAAATAATATAAATATTAATAATAATAATAATAATAATAATAATAATAAAAAGTGTAATAATAATAAAACTTATCAGTGTATGGTACATGAAAGTACTCAAAAGTCACGTGACAGAAATATTACAAATCATATCTTAACTTAAATAAAAATCATGGCATTCCTCTACAGAAAATGCCACTGAGAGAGTCTGCTCTATATTGTAATTACTGAATTTTGATTATCTCACACAACGTATAAAATGTAAATCTATTTCAGGTGAATGGAAATTTTATTTATAAACATTAAATATTTTCCCATATATCTTTTTTGTTTTTCTTCCCAACCTCTTCTTTGTTGGCACATGATCCACCCAATCCACAGTACATAATATTCTGTACTCGGTAAGAGTTTAACGAGATGAAAATCAGGTCGATGGAATACTAAAACATTAAGTAGTCAGAGCTATAAGGTAAGGATTAACAGGAGAGGGAAATAACGGACTTTCAGAATATAAATGATCACTCAGCGTTACACTCACTGGTCACAACCCTCCCTTACATTACCCTATGCCATCCTACAGCTGCAGAGACGTGTCCCTCCTCTAAACCTTTTCCGCAATGAAGGGGGGGAATGGCCCGTCCGTCCACTTTATAAGGCTGTGTTCGGGAAGGAGAGAGGCCGTGGTGTGGTCGGTGAGTAACGTCTGAGAGAAGTTGTAGTGGTTCTGGCTGCTCTCCTGCTCATGGGGGACGTCCCCAAACTGCCGGTACAAGTCTGTGGGAGCGGAATAAACGCTGTGAATTTCATTTGCCTCTGCCAAGTTTTTCCATCAGTTGAATTTTCTTTTTCATATACTTCTATTTTCCTAATCACGAATCACGACTTTTAATTACAGTAAGGAAGAATACAGGTTTTATGTCTCTTACCTGCTGCACTCTTTACTATCACTTCATTCATTAAAGCAAGAGGAAAAAAAAAAAAAAAAAGTAAAAGCAGGGGTGAATACATAAACAAATATCAAATCCTTATAAATAGGACAGACAAAAGATTAGAACTCTACATAAAAAGAGAAATCAATGCATAATAAAGAAGCAGTCTCCATTATGCAAGCTCCAATAGACACACACACACACACACACACACACACACACACACACACACACACAAATGCCAACATGAACGCACGCACACACAAACGCGCACAACCCCCCCCCCCCCCACCAGCTCACCCCCCACACACACACCTTTTAGAATAGCTGAGGACCACAGCTGAAGATGCAGGTCGGGGATTTTGGAAGCCAGCTGCATGGCCGGCGTGACCATGTTGTGCGCCTCCCTGGGGTTTCCGAGGGCCAGGAAGATGTGTCCAAGGAGCACCAGGGAGCAGGACGTGAGGCGATTCAAGTCCTCCGCGTTGGCCATCTTCAGGGACTCTCTCAGAAATCTCCTGCAGAGGGTTGCAGAGGTGTGAGTAAAGCAATTTAAGTGGATATGTAAATTTATTTTCTAAAATATATGCACTTACTTTCTGATAATATAGTTAAACCATTTGATAGAGAGCTTTTTCTCAAGATAATATATTCTGCTCACACTTTGAAGATAAATTATTGCACTTAAGCATAGTATGTTAAGCAGTAACAAAAAAAAAAAAAAAAATTGTCTAATGATCATTTTCGATTGTCTGTTTACTCAAATTTACACTTCATAACATTGTATATATAGAAACACACAAACAAACTGTCACAGATATGAAGAATACATCATATTTATGATAAGGGTATTTCTCAAACTCTTACAGATATGACAAATAAACCATACTTATGGGAAAGGAATGTTCTTAACCCAAATCCAATAAGCTTGTCAAGTCAAGTAAGGTCACAAGGTCTACTAATTGACTAATTGTGGCTACGCACTAAAAGAGCCATCTATGTATACAGAGACACTGCACAAAAAAATAAAAAGTGAGCACAGCATTTTCACAGCAGCACTAAGTTAAGCTCTCTGACAGACATTAAACAAATCTCATGCCCTTAACAGGCCATTCCCACTCACTTTCCATCATTGTGACGGCTTGTGAAGAAGGCGTGAAGGCCCTGAACATAAAAGGAAGCGGCTCGTAAGCTCTGGGACTGGGTGGGCAGCGTCTCGGGGTTTATTCTGTCCATGATGTCGGCAAAGTCCCTCTCCCGCTTGCATCTTAGGTAAACTACAGCCAGGTTGAGGTTTGCAAAGATCCAGAGGTCTCTGTTTTTTGAGGTCTGTGAGTGAAAAATATAGAGGAGAAGAAATATGTGAATTACATTTGGCTAAATAGTTTTTTTATTTGATGTCATCAAATGTAGACACTGAATCTATTGCATATTAATATGTAGTCAAAAGACATCAGTAGCTTACCCTTAAAGCAGCATTGAACTGTATTTCAGCAGCTTCAGAATTATTCATACTCATGGCATAAACTGCAAGTAGAGTGTGCAGCTGAGCACGGTGAGCCTTGAAGAAAAGAAAAAGAAAAAAGAAAAAATCACTCAAAGAACTGAGATGGTAATCATAGGTCATTTAACCTTATGTATCATCTTTAATAACTGCAACAGGGCAAAGCAATCTGGTATAATTTTAGCCTCTTGAATACTAGCCAAATAGCAAATCAAAACTAATATATGTAGTGTCACTAAGAAAAATGATAGTATTACTGCAAAAACAAGTTTCGAAATAATCTTAAAACCAGACTGAAGCAGTGAGTGCCATACCTGTAACTGCTTAGCATCCTCTTGCAGGAGTTGGCACACCTTTGCGATTTCTTTAATGGCTTGGGCCTTTGAGCCAATTATCAGGTGGCACATAACACTGTGCTCAAGAAGAAGCAATTGCAAAGACCTCAGAATTGATGTATTTTCTTCAGCTGAAAAAAAATAAAAAATAAAAAAAATATTTTTGTCATGTGTAAATTGAAAAGTAGATGCATCACATATGGAGACAGATAGACTTGAAGATAAGAGATTTATTAACTTCATCACTGTACCTACCTACTTGTATTATTTCTAATAAATAATCTAATGAGCCACATTTAGATCCACCAAATGAAACAAGAGTAAATGCAAGTATTTGCTTAATGATCCAAAATGAGAATTAAATAACTTACATTATATCAATTTCTACTTTTCTGAACATATCCCTAACTAACGAACTTATCAACAGACTTTAATCACTAAGATGGATATGGTAAACAAAAACAGCAAAAAAAAGAAAAAAAAAAACATACCAAAACATAAAACTGGCAATTCAAACTTATGTAAACTATCCCCATAAAAATGCATATATAAGACCCAAACCTGAGACCTCACAAACAAATTCACAACTCCATTTGCAAAGAGAACAAACAAAACTTGTCTTACCCTTTAGTTTGTCGATCTGTAGCAGCGCTTTGTCAGTGTACTTTTGCGCCTTCTCCATATACCCTGCCTGCATGGAGTGCATCACGGAGACGAGGTACACCAAGACGCAGAGTTGTTCGCGAGGTAACCATGCAAACATCTCACTCGTGCTGCTTGGGATAACCTCTGGAGAGTGTTGTGGGAGAATGGGTTATATCCTGTACATTATCTCTTTTATGATATATGGAAGATGAGATGACCAAAAACAAGACAGAATCAGCCTTTCTATCTATCTATCTATCTATCTATCTACACACACACCCACACACCCCCCCACACACACAGACTATTGGCATAAGACACATACCCTGTTCAGACAGCTGGGTAATATTCTGTATAGACTGTTGAAGTTGCTTGAGTGCCGGCTTGACACTCTTGACCTGACCACTGTTCAGGTTGTGACACACCAGCAGCACCAAATAAAACACCTGTAATGAGGCAAAATGTACGAGGTGATAAATGTTCTCTTATCAGCATTGATATAATCAGTGTAAGACAAGAATAAAAAAATCAATTCAATTAACTTCTTTCTCATAATAACATTGTGTCTATCTTGGTTATGTATACTATAAAGAATGTATCTATTTTTCTCTATATCTTTCAACATGATACTACAACAAGACTAAACACTGAAAAAGCAGTTCAAGAACCTCACCATGTTTCTCTACTGCACATCCATAATCACTACAGAATTTCTTTTTTTTTAATATGACAGTATTGTCTGTCTGGTCTCAAGAAAAGAAAGACTGGCAACTCACCTGGAATTTTCGGAGTTTCTTTAGAGAAAAAATTAATTAAGGTGTAAACCAAGTAAAATATAGCATATAAGTTTTTAAAATTCCAAACTCATCTAAACATAAGGATTAAGCATCAGCTGATTAGAAAATAAAGATGATGAAGAAGAAGAAGAAGAAGAAGACAAAGAAAAAGAAGAAGAATCAGGCTTCTAGGCAAGTCACCAGTCTTTCCTTCCCTGAGATCGGACACACTATAATGTAGTGACTTTTCTTCTCACATCCTACTTTCTTGCCTTACCCTGAGGTGCTCCTTCTGGCCTTGTGATCCATTGTACTGCTCGACACTCTGGTTGGCCTGAGCGAGCAACGCCTGGACCTCAGCAGCACCACGGCCTTCTAGGAGCATCACCTGAGCAAAAAAAAATAAATAAATTGTTTTCAATTATTTCTCTCACTATAGCAGTCATTATTTTCTTAAC